GCCAGGCATGCTGGGGGCGGGGCCACGGTCATCTGAGGGAAAACTCTATGTTTTTCCCTTGGATGGTCGTGGCCCCGCCCCCAGCGTGCCCAGCGTGGTCTTCTGGGTGACGGGGTTGTGGTGCGCGCGCGTGAAGCACGCGCGCACACTCCAGGAACAAGCCGGGAGCCCCCCGCTCCAGCAGCAGGTAAGACTTGGCAACCCTACCTACCACCCTGTGTCAGAATTCCAAAGGTGCCCACAGGCTAAAAAAGATTGGGGATTCTATTTGTTTCTGTTTTTTAATCTTTGCATTCCTTCCCATCCTTCTGACTGTGTGCTAAGAAACCAAAGGACCTCATGGGAAACTCTGTGGGCAAAGAAGGAGAGCCTGCCACCTCCCAAGGAAGCCTGTGCCCCTGAGGAGCTGTTCTAATTGTCAGGAGGTTCTTCCTAATGTTTAGCTGAAAACTCTTTGGAGTTAATTTCAGAGTGTTGGTTCTGGTCTGACCTTCTGGAGCAACAGAAAACAACTCCACCCCATCCTCTATATGACAGCCTTTCAAATGCAGATGGCTATCATATCACCTCTCAGTCGTCTCTTCTCCAGGCTAAACATAACCTAGCTCCTTCAACCTGACCTTCATACTGACTTTGATGGACCAAAGGTCTGATTTTGTATAAGGAGGCTTCATGTGTGCCGATAAGCTGAGAAACCACCCTGATGACACACCAGAGAAGGTCATCCTAAAAACAGGCACGCGCTGCATGCAGTAAACGTGCCTGCAGTAGCCTTTAAGAAGTCACAGGACCTGGTATTCAGAATATAGAACACAGGACAGTACTTAGGCATCTTAAATGGGCTCCACTGTGCCATTTCTAGCCACATATCTGAACAAAAGAGAGGCCTAATATAAATCTCCTTTTCTCCTTTTAGTGCGTCCCACAGGAAAACCAGGGCTTCATCCTCGGAAGATACCTTTGCCCCTGTAAACCAGGTTTCTACCGGCTAAGCAGGCCCTTCGTCTCCTCCAGTAATGGCTGGTCTGGTAGGTAGCAGCATTATCCACTTTTTCCCGTAGCATCTCCTCCTAGGGTTGCCAGGTCTTACCTGTCTGCCAGTGGGGAGCGGAAGTGACATCATCGCACTGGGCACTTTGTACAGGGGATGCTTTAGCATTTGGTTAAAAGCTCTATGGTCACCATAGAGTTTTTAGCCAAAAGCTAGAGCGTCCCCCATGCGACCATGCCCAGTGTGATGATGTCACCTCTGAGTGACATCATCACGCTGGTCACGTCAGGCGTGGCGGGGCTCTTTGGGGGAGGTTCTCCCCCACCCATCGGGGGGTTGAGAACCCTATCTCCTACAATAGGGATCCCCAACATAGTAGGCCAGGTGGGGCCACTGCCAAGCCAGGCTTATAATTGGCCAGTGGAGATTTGATAGGCTGTGTGCAGAATTTTATGAACGTTACTTTGGAGGCAGCTGCCAGCACAGACCAAAGATCTTTCTGGTGTGACGGAAAGTAAGCTGCGGCCACCATTTTGTGCCTGCCTCCATCCCCCGCAGCAGCCATTTTGTGGCGGCATGCACCATGCTGTGTCAGATGACAAAATACCAAAGCTTGGATTCAGCCAGCTTAATCTTGCTAAATTTCCATCCTTGCTACAGCCTTGCTACAGTAGGAAAAGCAGGTTAGATATAGCCTCAGGGCTGCGCTGTGCAATGGATACCCTCTAAAAACTCCCATCCTAAAGGACATCAGCTGTCATACTAATTTCCAGACGCTCACTGGGATTTTAGCTTTTGTTTCCTGGGTTCTTCTTCATGTCAGGAGTTGGCAACTAAATTAGTTTGCTGGTAAGCCAATCTATGATCAGGCACAGGAATGAAGAAAGAAAGCCTTTCCCGCCTTCTTCTTACTCCCTTATCTTGTACAATTTTTGTTGCATTTTTAAGGTCTGGCAACCACTTTTAAAATATAGGGCTGATCCAAATCTTCCCTCTTCCCCCAGGGAAACGTTCATCCCAATATGCAGGCCAGTACGGGACAGTGGATTCTGGGAATTTACTGGAGTGCCGCCCCTGTCAGGAGGGATGTACCACCTGCATCGATGACATGCCGTGTCTGATCAAAGAAGATTGGTCTCTGCGGGCTGCCATCCTGGCCTTCCAGGCCTTCTGCATGCTGGCAGTCTTCCTCAGCATGCTCATCTCCTACCACTTCAGGAAGAGCAAGGTAAAGGGGCTGTGGCTTAATGGTACAGAACTCACCTGGCATGCTGAAAGTCCCAGGTTCAATCCCCGCCATCTCCAGTTAAATGGAGCAGGGAGCAGGTGATGGGAAAGATCTCTGCCTGAGACCCTGGAGAGTTGCTACCAGTGACCACTCTGAGTAGACAAGACGTACCTTGATAACTGGTGTTCTCTGACCCAGTATAAGGCAGCTTCATGTGTTCATGTGTAAAGTAGGGTTGCCAACCTCCAGATGGTGGCTGGAGATCTTCTGCTATTACAACTGCTCTCCAGGTGACAGAGATCAGTTCACCTGGAGAAAACAGCCGCTTTGGAAGGTGGACTCTATGGCATTATACCCAGGGGTCATTTCCTGCAGGAGCACACAGGAGCAGAGCTCCGGCAGTAAAGAGCCCAGGGGGCGGGCACATGCAACAAGCCCCACCCCCTGCTCCCAGCAGCCCTCAGTCAGAGCAAGAAGCGGCCAGGTAAGCTGCAGAGCCCCCCCCCGGCCCCCCATTCCAAAACAGTCCATTGGCACCTTTAAGACCAAGTTTTATTCAGGTACAAGCTCTCCCTCCTCTGTGAGGGCAGATCTGTACGTTCCCC